CCGAGGTGTGTGTGGTTTGGGGCTTGGGGTTTTTTTTGTTATTTTTGCCTTTTTTGTTGTTTTTGCCTTTTTTTTCTCCAATTTTTTTTCCTGCTTTCACAAGAAGGAAAAGAAAACGTTACCAAGATTCTCAGATGGCTTAGACAAATTAATAATAATCTGTGAAAATACGAAGTCGACCGGTTCTTGATTTCCCCCTTCCCTCCCCTCCAGCTCCCCAGCCCACTGCTGAGATTGAGCTAAAAGGACCTGTTTCCTGGAGGACGAGGAGAACAGACACGTTTCTGGTGGTGTAGAAGGGACCGATGGCAATGCTTCAGAGTGTAGTGGAGACGCAGGACAGAGATTCAACCTGTTAACAAAAAAAATTAAGCAGGGGGAGAATATCAACGGGAAGGAAAGATTTATATACATATATATATACACGTATATATATATACAATTTAGAAGTATTCCCCAGGTGGCCACAAAGCATGGGCTGTGTTCCAAGCACCAACCTCTCTGACAGCAGAGTGATCTGTCACAGTAGCAATGAGTCTGAGGAGTACAATTTCCCTCACCAGACCAACACAACCATGTCTCAACAGCAGCAAGGCAACCCCGTCCCAGGATTATTCATTAAATGCTACAACACATCCACTTATGAGGCGAGGACTAATTCCTCTAAGAAAGACAAGAGGGAGAACAGCCAGAGCATGGAGGCAGAGGCCCAGACCGGCAGACCCAATGTTAAGGTAAAAAGGGTGCTAAACACGAGCACGGTTTCTCTCAGAACAGGCGCTGGCTGTAGCGGTTCAGCCCAGGCACTCCCGGCCGCTGTGCAGGAGCTTTTCCCGGCTTGGGCTTTACTTTCGTTTATACACTAATCCGTGTCTTGGCGATTTTGCAGAGGTACCCAAGCCTCTTTGTTCGCTCCGCAGAATGAGTTTTGCTGATTGCGGCAAGGAGAGCGGTGTTCGTGTCCCCATGGAGCGGCCGCGCCGTGCGGGATGCGCCGAGCCCCGCGCTGGGGCCGGCCCGGCCCGCCTGGCTCTCCGCGCTTGTCGCCGCTGCAAACGGGGGCACATCGCCGTCTGCCAGCTGGGCTGACCGCTCTTCGTAGCCCTTCAATTTGGAGAGTTAAGGGAGAGCTGCAGCGTGTTTTGCTCTGGGTCCTGATTTACATTAACAACTTGTTGACCTTGTCTGTTGCTGCAAATAGGGAGTTTTTTTGCGGTTTTTTTTCCGTGTGTTTGCGCCCGTACTTTAGAGGAACAGCACAAGACTGTATGGAGTTGACAGACACATACTGAAAAAAATTGTGATTTGTGATTATTTTCTTGGAAGTGAGACAGTTCGTGGTTTAGAGTGCGTGTTTGTCTGTTTGCTCTTTATCTGTTTATCTATGAGTTGTACTTTAGCTCCTAATGTTATAGGTTTGTATTATATCTTTGCTTTTTTTTTTTTGGAAACTATTTTTTTCATTTTGTAAAAATGAGTTGCGAATGTAAGAAAAATCACATTGTAGCAGCCTTGGGGATATTATATAACATGGCTGATCTCTTCTGGTTGCTGTGATAAGAACTGAGATACACACGTTGTAAATATAAGATACAGGCTTGAGATGCAAGTGAGATCTAGCTGAATCTGTTAGTGCTTTGCAGACTAACAGAAAATCTAATGGTTTGTTGTTTTCTTAGGGTTTTTACTTGCTTATGAAGACAACTTCTAGAGTATTGACCTGGAATAATTTACTTCAGTTATGTGGGTGATTTTCTTTGATTGTTTTCCTTCAGATTTAGCAATCTTTGGTCATAGTTTAGTAAGTTTCATAATTTAAAAAAAGTCTTGAAAATTAGCAGACACTTTGAGAGTAGTGAGCTGGGGAGGAATTAGCAATACTTAACTAAGAACATGAAGCTGAATGGTGGTGTACTAAACTCAATTTCAGTGTTAACAGCCCTGCACAGGAAATGAACTTTACGGCCCTGTTCACACGCGATAGATGAGCTCATGGGTGTTTAACACAGCAGCCACGCTGAGCAAGCTTCAGCTGTCATCTCAGTCCTGACACTTGTTTTGCTAGCTGAATTTGTAATAGGGATTATAACTGAATGCTACAAAACCTGAATCAAAAGTAGTCTTTTCAAATTTTTGTTTCTGTGAATTTGTTTTGTGTGATTATTTAAGGGGAAAAAAAAAATCCCTCAAACCTGTTTCCAGAAGCATGTGTGGGAAGCAGTCTTAATTTAGTTAAATTTTGTTGTTCACCTTCAAGAACTTTGAACAAATTCTTGTTACTAGGTTTGGATAATTCAGCCAGACTCCATAGGTTGCTGTTGGTTTGTGTGCATGCTGTCATCTCATTGACAGCCACTCAGATTTTTATCACAGTCACATTTTCTGCCCCTGTCATCACTCTTTAGCACAGTTCTGTGAAAGATGGGTTCTGAGAAATGAAAATGGAGCTCTGTTTGTGATCAGTTGAATACAAAATCTGTTGGACACATCAAATCTACATTATTTTCATGTGCAAAACCCTGTAATAATCTTTAGAGCTGTCAGGCAGCATGGTATTTCTTTCTCTGCATTTATCATTAGCGTGTGTAGTAGGACCAGATTTGCAGTGCTGCATAACTGTGCTGTCTCAGAGATTGTGCTGGAGAGGGATCACTGCAGAGCAGTTCTCACCGCTCAGTGAAGTTTGGAAAGAGTGAGAAAACTGAAAACAATGTGCAGGAGCCTGAAATTCCTGAAGGCAACAGGAGCATTGGGCAGGATGTTGTGCTGTTTTGTAATTAAAAGGATTTTTGACTTGAGGAAGAATTGAGAGTTAGGGTGCTACTAAGAACCATTGCTATTTCTTGGAGTGTATAGTACATTCTTTATGACACTGGGGATTCCTTCAGAAAACCCAAAATGCAAACTTGGTGTGCTTTGGGCACTGGTAGTGTCACCCACAATTTGTGTGAATTGCCAGTAATCTTCCTGATTGATTTTTCACTTGGTTCAGGGTGCTTTAAGTTGTTGTATAGTCTCAAATTAAAGCCAACAGAATGCTGTGTTAGAGCTCTCAACAGAAGTTGGCCTGTGTGTAAATTTCATGTTTTCACTTTGGCTGGCATTAGTGCTAAGTTCATTAAAACATGTGTAGTTTCAATAGTGCAATAATATTTACTATTATATTACTATTACTGAATCAGTTTGCTAGCTATAGTGCACATTTTTCAATTCAGAAAATGTATCAAAAAGAAAAAAAAGTCCCATGTTAGTTGTAAAATGGCATTATATCTGTTGGTAACTAGCCCTTGACTTTGGTTTTGTGTTCATGTCTTGTTTTATCTTTCTCCTGGCCAAATAGCAGAGGGTCATTTTCTGAATGGGTGGTGTGAGCATACTGTATTTTGTGATTTGCATCAGTGTATAAACTGTAGCTAAAAAAGTGACATGTTCTTTTCTAGTATGGGAAACCCTAAGTAAATCCACCCAAATTTGCAGAATAATCCTGAAAGTGTGTGTGAGCAGAGGTAAATGCTGTAATACCTATTTCTGTTATGTATGAATATGGTGACAATATGTGAGAAATGGAAATCCTCTTTTAGGTCATGGCACCTGTATTTCCCTCCTTAATTAATATTTTCATATGTGGCTTTTATTTGACAATTATGATCATCTTGGATTAAGTGCCATATTTAAACAGTGAACCAGCCATGGAAACTCTTCCCTTAATTTTCAATGTACTGCCTCTGCAGATGAAACCCTGTACTAAGTGAAAGAAGAGCAGGACTTGGATGCAAGGACTGGGGTTTGATTATCCAGTGCTACATAAAGAATGTCAAATTACACTTAACCAGTACTGTTGCAAAGAGGAGTTTCCCTGATTTTTAACTCTAAAAATCTCAAGGAAGTGGACTCAAAATTGTGACAGTCTGTCCTTTTCATATATATTAGTTATGATTTTCAGATATTTTTATAGTTGAATTTGTGATAAAGGTACTTGGATTTATAGAAACCTGCTTAAACACCACTAGAATAATAACTGTTTAATCCATAACATAAATGGAGTAAATGCTGAAAGGCATAAGGACTTCTTGGGTGTTTATTTAGAATTGGCTGCGATATTCATAATCATATGCTATCCCAACATCCTGTGTGTGTGGCTCTTCTCCAGCACATTAATATACACTGTGGCACCTTGATTTTGCTCTGTCATTCTTTTACGTATGCAAGATTTCCTTCCTCTTTCCTTGAGGAACTCTCCCTGTTGGTACATTTAATACAGAAATATGTGCATTTTGTTGCAAGGGGATCAGAGAGTGAATCCACACTTCATTTGCTTGAAATTAAAATGACTCCCAAGTCAGAAGGACTGAATGTGAAATAGTCTTTTGATTTATCAGCTGATGTGGGGCAACCAGTTAAAATCCATGCCCCTACAGCCAGTAAGTTTTCTGCATTCAAACCCTGAAATTGCCTGTGAATTTTGCAGTCACTGCAAGCCCACGTTGCATAATTCTGCATGGCTGTGTGCTGTATGGCACCTGCAGTGGATCTCATTTCAGCAGTTAGCACACGTTATTTAGTCCATTAAGCTGTCTGCTCCTTTCCTCCCTGTCTGGCAATGCCTTTCCCTCGGAACACACCAGCACTCCCTCCTTTGATACTCCCACACTCTCTGTCCATGCTTCCAGCGAGGCCATCCACCCTCTCCTGAGTCCTCCCTGCTCCCACCGAAGCTGTCCTCAATCATTTCCCATCCCATTCCCTCCCACTTCCACCGACGTCAGCTCTCCTGCACAGAGATCCTTGCTGGCACTGAGAGGATCCTTCCCACGCTGACATCCATGAACTCTTCTCAGTCTTTGCAGCTCCAGACTTTCAGACTGATACTTTTAATGCTGTTGCTGTAAGGCATGAATCCTTTCTCCAGGGGATGGGAGTCTAATTTTTAAATGGTATAAAGTGGTATAGTAACATGTGAACTGGTCTAATTTTTATCTTTTTAAGTTTCCTATTGTTTGTTATGTAAATTGGAAAAAACCCAAACTATAAATCACTCACATTATATAGATGGCTACACTACAAAGACAGCATAAGCTGTGGTTTCAATTTTCAAAGCATTATTGTTGGTGCCTCTCCTTGTCGTGCAAACCAACTCATGCAAAATGTGTCACTGCTTCTGAGGGCAATTCTTGGTGTGCCTGAGATGAGCAAGGTTAGACTCTGAATTTTTTGGAGTATTTACTGTTGGTAAAAACTTCACTGAAACTCAGCTGAAAATTCTTGTGCCTTTTCTGTTCTTCAGTGCTGCTCTCTGAGTTTGCTCTGTCTTTTCCCTGGCCATTTTATGTAGTTAAGTACTAAGCTTTTCCTTTTCTGCCACCTGAATCCGTCAATAGAGGAAGTATTAAAACCAAGCCTTTATTTCTCTTTAGTTCTAGATATTTTTCTTACTGCGTTGTACCTTTTGTATTCCTAATTGTATGGCTCAGATTGAAGTGTAAGTACATTTACAGAGAGAAATTTTCTATTTGTAGAGTGTACTTATAAGCCAGGCAGAATAACAGGAGGTGATGCATTAATGGGTTTTTACCATTCCCAGTATTACATGTGGTGTGAAATTCCAATGCAAGTTAACAGCTTTGCCTTGCTATTTAATATACCAGCAATTCAGATTTTACATTCAAAATGCTAAGTTTAAGTATAAATTAAAGGTATAAAATGGTTACACCCACTTGCAAATACTTCTCATTCA